GAAAAGAAAATCGACGGTTGTTGATACAAGAGAGGTGGTAATTTGTGAAGTTTTTTGATGGATTGATTATTTGATAGTGTTGGTTGTGCATGTAACTATGATAAATATACCTATATATAATGAATGCAAAAGATTCTTCAATTGTTGTAATACAATTTCTGCGTCAAGTATATTGATTCTTTACTTGTATAAACTTTATTCATTTCCCTTACCCTTATTTTACATTTTGTAAACTTTCTAATGTTGTTTTTCTTGAAAGAAGTGTTAAAAAAAGTATATATTCTTTATTCTTTTCTTCTCTTAACGATCCACTAAGTCAACCAATTTTGTATTTATGAAAAGCACCGTAGCCTACCTAACCGGGAGGGTTCATGAATTCTCGGTATATTAAGATTTTGTTTTGTTAAACAGTATATTAAGATTTATATGACAACAAAGCGTATTGATATGAACCAATTATAACAATCAAGTAGAATTTATTCTCGATCCTAAAATATGATTATAAGAGGTCGAAAAAACCAATCTAAAAAGATGTGTTAAAAATCTCACATCAAAATTAAAATAATATATAAGAAACCAATCTATGATTCATTATTAATTCATTATGAGTTGGATATGGACAACTAAGACATTTAGAACCTTTGGCTGGAATTTAATTTTAATTGTGTGATTATTATTTAAGATCCATGTATTGGATTATGATCGGTTTTACAGTTATGTGATGTGTTATATAAAAATACAATACAAAATAATTATATTTCTGACACCCTATATTTTAGTATTCATATTACATGAGCTAATTATAAAATTTTAATTGCTTTTTATAAGAAAACCCACTTTCATATTAACAAGTTTTAGTTGATTGTGTTAGAAGTTAATCTTCAAATTCCAAAAACACTGAACTATAATTTATCATTTAATGTTTCCCTTAAATTCCATAGATTTTTTTTTTTTGGTTTGATTACTCAAATTCCATAGATTTTATAACAAGATATAAATAATAATAAACAATTCAATCATTTAAAACTCAAGAAACACCTTTTTTTTAAATCATTCTCACACGAAAAATCTAAAAACAAACTATAAAATTTGTATATATCTCCAAAACAATACACCACAAAAATAGAGAAAACACATTTGTTAATGTACACACACATATATATTAACCTTTTCTGTATAGTAAAAAATATTAGTTTCCAGATTTATTTTCTTTTTTGGTCAAAGTAGTTTCCAGATTTTTATTCCCATTAAAATCTCAATTAATAAAAGTGTTTCCATATATTATCTCGACCC